TGCAGTGTCTGAGATAGTTATGAATGGACTTAAAATTACTCCTCTAAACAGCTGGCATTTGTAAAATGCAGTTTCACAATCTACTTAAGCTGGCCTAAAACAGCGTAGCTCTGTTGTGTCTGTATGAGCAAAAATGTAGCAATGAGGCTGCCAATTCCTGGAACACAAACGGGCTGGCAGGAGCACACAGCTGGAAGAGGAGTGCAGAACTTTTGGCAGTAGCACCGTCCTGCATCTCTCTGCTGACAGTGACACCAGGCTGGAGTGATGCTCTGTCTTGCAGTGCTGGAGAATTCCAACTGAAAGAAGATACTGCAATACGGAAAAACAACAAACCCATCACCACCATCAGAAACGGTAACTTTCCTTCTTTCTGTTCTGCTTGTTAATAATAAGCAGGGCTATGTTATTTTTTTAGTGTTAATAAAATTAGGATATTCATGGGTTCATTTATTTATTTATTTGTTTGTTTGTTGCTTGCTTGCTTGCTTGTGTTTTTTTTTTTTTTGATGTGGCTTTTGCTTAGTTACAACTGTTAAGTAAATATGAAAAATTGAACATGAGCCATCAGTGGGCACTTGCATCCTGAACTGCATCAAAAGAGGGGTGGCCAGAATGGGGAGGGAGGTGATTATTCCCCTTAGTCTTCCCTCATGAGGTCCCATCTGGAGTACTGTGTCCAGGCCTGGGGCATTCAGCACAGGAAGGGTGTGGAACTTTGCAGCAGATCCAAAGGGTCACAAAGATGATGAGATGACTGGAGCATCTCTACTATGAAAAAAGGTTGAGGGAGTAGGGCTTGTTTAGCTTAACCAAGGCTCCAGGGAGATCTCACTGTGGTCTTCCAGTATTTGAAAGGAGCTTGTATGCCAGAGAGGGACCAGATAGTGATAGAACAAGGAGGAGACAACAGAACAAAAATGAACGGAACTAATAGAGAGGAGATTTCTGTTAGATGTTAGGAGAAGTTCTTTACTCAGAGGGTGGTGAGGCACTGGCACAGGCTGTCCAGAGAAACTGTGAATGTCTGTTCCATAGAGGCACTCAAGATCAGGTTGGATGGGTCCCTGGGCAGCCAGATCTGGTAGGATCATGGCAGGAGGGCTGGAACTGGATAGTCTTAAAAGTTCCTTCCAATCTAAGCTATTATCTGACTCAATGACTCTATGAAATGCATTTTAATATAAACAGAATTAAAAATGACCTGTTAGAGCAGTACCACCACATGCTGTCTTGCTCCTCTGTGTGTGTGTGTGATCTACAGTCTGTTTCCCCTTTACTCACTCAAATCCCAAAACATTGGAATTTAGATGTGTTAACTGTTTATACTATACAGTTTACATTCATAAATTTTCATCAGCAACTTCAGATTTCTCCCTCCAAAAATGCCTGGTTAGTCGGTACTGTAGCTTTTAATTATGTTTCAGCTATGTGTGGTTACAGAGAGAGAAAGAGAACTTGGATTTAGTAAAAGTCAGTGTCACAGGCTGAGACAGATATGAGGAACCGACCCCTGTCCTGGAAAGGCACTTCATTCCAATATCCATTTGCTGGAGAATGTGTGAGCTATGCCAGGGAGTTCTCCTTTCTGATACAGTTAATACATTTACGCATGTATGTTTCTCTGTGTGATTATATTAATGAAAATTAACATGATTTTGACTTTAAATTTAGGAGTTTATGTACTTTTGCTACTTGAGGAATTAGGTAGAAGTTTCAAGAGTCCACCATTACCACACATTTTATTATCTCAGTTCAGATCCTACCTAAACTACTTAGCTCTTTTCATGTATATACATCAAGTTTCATATTTGAACTTTCGTATTGTTATTCTTTGACAATGCCAAATATTTACTTGCAATCCAATTATCCTACTCTTCATTCATCTGTTAGCACTTGGCCTGGAGTCAGGCAAGATAGTAGCACTAGCATTTACAAGATCACTCAAATGGTTGCTTGTAGTATCCATGCAAAATGCAATCCCTGTATCAGTACACTAGAGCATATCTCCAACAATGATCCAATGTTATATCTAGAAATGACAGCAAGGTCACTTCCCCATGTGTCAAAACCGATTTTTTTGGTAGATATTTGATTTTTTTTTTTTCATGATAAGAATGACAGTCATTCTTCACAGATGAAGAATATTTCAAATTTCATGAATATACTGCAAAGAATATACTGCAATTTGGTGCCAGGTGCTCAGTGTTTCCACTAAACAAGAAGAACAAGAAGTAATTTGCTTTCACAATTAACAATTGTTCTGAATGTAACCCTGATTTTACTGGTCACTCCTCAAACGGTACTTTGCAACCAGCTATAGCAGAATGCTTTTTCAGCCTCATTTCATGGAAAAGAAGGTTACAACTCGTGATCACTATTCGTAATTACCTTAAACCAGTTCCTCTGAAGTTTAGTCCACTTAATTGTTTCTCTTGGATTCACGAGTTGCTGCTTTGTGTTTCTGTTTTTTTCCCCCCTCTATCCTTCAGTTGTAGTGTAGTAATTATGCGTGTCTGCTGTCTATTGGAAATTGCTAGCAGAAAAAAATAACTGAATATTAGTTGCAACACATTTGTTATTTTCTCATGATATTTCTCTGTCTCTCATTATGTTACCCTCAAAGCACCTGCCCAAAAAGCTGGAAGGTTCTCAGTTGAACATTCCCACAAAGTACTGAGTGACTATGGGAGGCTCTTCATTTACAGCTGCTCCCAAGCTTTCAGACATCCTGTAAAACTAAGGAACACCACAGTGAAAGCTGAACTTTGAACATGGAAGCAGTAAAGTCAGTTCTGTATCTATAAATGATTCTAATTATGTAACAGCCAGAGTCTCCTGCAAGTTTATCAGGCAAGAGTGCTTTCTTGATATCCCAACAGCAGTAAAGGAACTGCTCTTTTTCTTTTGAAAAAGACAGAAAGTAAGAAGGTTTCACTTGATGAAATTATACTTTGTTAATGATATTCTTGCTTTGCCATTTTTTTAAGCAGAAAATTAGTCTTAATTTTTCTGCTAATGCAACATCTCTGACTGTGTGAAAGAGATTCAACAGAAAAAAAAAATCGCATGCCTTACAAATGCCTTCACTGCCTTTTTAAGAATACTCTGTCAAAATGGTATCATTTCTGAATATACGGGGCAGTCAGTAATTTATTTTTTTCATGTTTCTCCATAAGTATCACACTGAAATTCAATGCTGTTAATGTGAAAAATCTCAGCATAGATGCCACAGATAAGGGATCTTGGGAGAGCTTTAGTATGGTTTTAATCTAAGAAAGGTCCCCCACGTGTTCTGCTCCTTGGGATTACTTGACAATTTACAGAAGTCATTCTCTGAGACTTAATGTATTGCAGAATGGGTCAGCCTTGGAGGGGGAAGAAGAAAAAAAACAACAAAAACCATAACAGATACAATGCAAGACATAATGGGAGCAAAGGGAAAAAGGGTTTTGATGATTCCACTTGTAGTGTTTCTCAATGTTTCTACTATCTTAAAGAGGAAAGCAGACTCTTGCTAATTTAGTTTTACCTTTCCTCTCCTCCTGTAATAACTTCCTCAGTAGTTAGCATGAAATGGCAGAATGTTTGCTGTTTCAAGTTCAGGGCAATATATGCTGATCTTTGGTCATTATGTAAATTCCTTCTGATGGAAGCATAAGATCCAGGCAATAATCAGTAGTTTTTCCTCCTAAGCAAAGGTCACGTCTAAAGGATTAGGATGATGTCAGATGTAGTTTATAACCAATGTGCGCAATTTAATAATGCAGTCATTCTAAGATGCTCTCTGTGGTGCAAGGAAACAGAATTGGCATCCATGATGCGTGACCATTCCGTTTTCATTTCAAAACAGAAAAGGCAGTTGCACTTTTAAGTATTTCTTAATTTGCTTAATTTATAGCTAAGACTTTGCAGGGAGAAAAGTTAAGAATCCAAGTTATGCCTTGGAAGAAGCAGTGAAGCAGAAGTTCTTGGGTTAACGAAAGCACACATGCTTTGAAGTACGGTTTACAAACCCAGTAATTGGAAACATATTAAACATATCACTTCTCCTAGAAAGTACAGCCTACCGGAGCAGGGCTGGCACGGCACTGTGCGGATGACACAGCCCGAAGGTTCGGCAGGCCGCCACCAGCAGCGCGAGGAGCGCTGCGAGCCCGACAGCGGCGTTACCGCTCCGAAGCGCGGACACCAAGGAGCGCTGCCCATCAGAATCTGCGGGCCCCACACCGTGAGTTGCGAAGCAAAGGTTTCCTACGTACCACTACGGCTTTATGCCGTACTTCAGAAGCCTTCTGCCCAAGCTGAAGGAGAGCCATTTTAGTGTCTCGCATAAAATAAACCGTCTGTGACGGGAGGTACTTGCAAAACGCGGGACCCCTCCAACAGGCGGATGCTGCGCATCTCCGTGCTTCCTGAGGCACTTTTACGCATTTATTTCTCCCTCATAAAGTTGCGAGCTGCACATCAGACGGCTCCCCCCGCCCTCCTACCCACCTGCTCCCCCCAACCCGAGCCCTCCCTCCCCGCGGACTCGGGGGAGCCGCCCGGCCCCGCCTCCCCCCCACCATCCGCCGCTCCCGGGCCCAGCCCCCCCGCTCGGGCCCCGGCCCTGCCCCCGGGCGCGCCCGCCGCGCTCCGCTCTGCCGGCAGCCCGCTGCCGAGGCGTAGGGGCGGCGGTGGCATCGCGGTGGCGCGGGGCTGGGCTGGGCGCGGCGGCAGCCTCACGCAGTCGCAGGGAAGAGAGCGGCCAGGAGCGCCGGCGGAGCCGGGGTGCGCTCGCCGCGGAGGGCCGGCGGATTCCTGCTCCGCGGCAGGGCTCCGCCGAGCGCGCCGCCTTCCAGCCGCAGTGACATCCCCGCAGCGCTCCGCGAGCCGCCGGAGGAGGGTCAGCCCCGAAGTTGCGGCCAGTCCGGGTGAAAAGTAGCGGCGAGGCGGAACGGGCCGCGGCCGAGCCGAGAGGGGAACGGTGCAGCGCCTCGCCACCACCGGTGCGGTGGCTGGCTCGGCGCCTCGGCCCCCGCCCGCACGGACAGCGCCGCGGGTAAGTCGGGCTGAAGCCGCGCGGGGGCAGACGCGAGGAGCCGGGCCGAACGGGGCGCCCGTACCCGCCGCCCAAACTTGCTCAAGTTGTGCGGCCCCGGGGCGGCGGCGCGGCGCGGCGCGGCCGGCTCCGGGCGCCCTCTGCTGGCCACGGCGTGGCGCAGCGGGCGGCCGCGGGGCTGTGGCGGTCAGGGGCGATCGGCTCCCGGCGGGCATCCCGGCCCCGCAGTGGTTTGTTGGGGATGCGAGCTCCGCTGGCTTTTGGTGGTGTGTTCTCGGTGTCGTTTATTGGGTTTATTGGGTTAATGTGGCAGCATGACGGGAAAATGTGCCCTGAGTCTTGGGAGTCGCGCAGGGAAAGGTGGAATAACGAGAGTTGAGGTCACCAGTGTGAATTTCCATTTTGACAAAGAGAAATGTGAAATTTTGAAAATGCCCCTTTTTAATTAAATTTCTTTGGGAAAAGAGAAAAAAATGCATTAACCCTCAACTTCCCCGAAAACATTATCAGTTCCCTGTGACTGAATAGTCTGTGTTCTGACACCTGCATAGCTTCAGAGAACTTCTGTTTGTGTTTCCACAGAAAGAACCAACATGCAAAAAGGAAGGAAAACCAAAACTGCTCTTTTGGCAGAAAAGCATTGGCTTTCAGCTCCTTTCATATGTTTTTGTTTTGCTTCGTAATGGGAGGAGCAGGATTCTTTGAATCATTGAGTCAAAATTTGGGCAGCATTGGCTGAAGATGAGATGAAAGAAGACTTGAATATATGTCGATACTCCCTGACTGTTAATTCAGACAAACTTTTTACTAACGGAGGGGAATAGTGGTTAAAAGCACCACGGACTCATTTAAAGGAGCTGATGAATGATTTCTGCCCTTTTTCTTTTTTTTTTTTCTTTTTTTTTTTTTTTTTCTTTTTTTTCTCACTCTCCCACGAGTCCTAAGAAAAAGATAAAGAATGTGTATACAAACTGAGATAAGGGGAAGGCTGAAGAAAGTAGCTTCCATTTTTGAATCTTTTTCAAGTGCTGTAAATTCCTTAAATAATTAAATTCACCAATTCACCATTCAATTGTTTTGAATAAATTATATATTTTTTTTTGTGATCAGTGTTTTTTTTTTGTTTGTTTTGTTTTGCTTTTGTTTTTGTATTTTTTTTTCTGTTTTATTTTTTTGGTCAGTTCTAAAAGTGGAATTTGACCTGATTGAAAACTTTAACACAGAAAACGTGTGGCTCTGATTCCTGTTTTCAAATGGAGGTTTTCAAGTTACCAAGAGATAGCATTCCAGTTTCTTCTTGTGTCTTGTCATCCTGTGTTTGTATGCATATCTTGGAGATTTTACTTTTTCCCTGGTTTTAGTATACATGCTGTGGTGTTGTATTTGAGAAAAGTGTGAACAGAAGGCACCTGAGATTTAATTTCTTGGCAGATTCGTTGACTCGTTATTCCAGTGTCATAGTTCACATTACAAGTAATCCGAGTAACTGTTAGAATGTGCAGTAAAACTAAGTCTTTTGTCTTAAGAAAAAAAAAAAAAAAAGCCTTAAGATGTTCATGTTTATACTGACTGGATCAAAGCTTGATATCTGAATGTTATGTTTTGTTAGGAAATGCATGCCGGGGGAAGAGGAGCTGCTTAATGGATCATGGCTCTGATGCTTACAGGGCATACCTTATTTCTAGCATTAATGATGTTTGCTGTCTTCACTTTTGAAGAATCTGTAAGCAATTACTCTGATTGGGTGACTTTTATGGAAAATATAGATCAATATGAGAAAGAGAATCTTGGTAGTCTTGGTGCTGAGCAGAAGCTGAAAAAAGCAGTTCTTCATCCAAGCTTGTATTTTGATGCTGAAGATGTCCATGTGTTGAGGCAGAAAGCTCACACAAGCCATTCACACATATTCAGAACCATCAGGAGTGCAGTGACCGTTATGTTATCCAACCCATTGTACTACCTACCTCCACCCAAACATGTTGATTTTGCTGCAAAGTGGAATGAGGTTTACGGTAACAATCTGCCACCTCTAGCATTTTATTGTTTGCTTTGCCCTGAAGATAAAGCTGCATTGGATTTTACTGTGGAGTATATGGACAGAATGGCTGCTTACAAGAACTGGTTGGTTGAGAGCGCGCCTGGTGATGAAGTCCCACTTGGCCACTCCCTAACAGGATTTGCCACTGCTTATGACTTCCTCTATAATTCACTGGAAAATGTGAGAAGACAAAAATACCTGGAGAAGATACGGTCTGCAAGCAAGGAAATGTTTGAGTACTCAAAGGTTCGTTCCTGGGGAAAGCAGCTTCTTCACAATCACCAAGCAACCAACATGCTCGCTTTGCTTACTGGAGCTTTAGTGACTGGTGTGGACAATGGATCTCAGGCAAATATTTGGAAACACACTGTTGTTGATGTGATGGAGAAAACAATGTTTCTGCTCAGTCACATTGTAGATGGGTCTCTGGACGAGGGAGTAGCTTATGGGAGTTACACTGCTAAGTCAATAACACAGTATGTTTTCCTGGCACAGCGACACTTTGGTATTAACAACTTGGAAAATAATTGGCTCAAAATGCACTTTTGGTTTTATTATGCCACCCTATTACCAGGCTTTCAAAGGACTGTGGGGGTAGCAGATTCTAATTACAATTGGTTTTATGGTCCTGAGAGCCAGCTGGTTTTCTTGGATAAGTTTGTCCTGAAGAATGGAGCTGGCAACTGGCTGGCACAGCAAATTAGAAAACACAGACCCAAAGATGGACCAATGGTGCCATCCACTGCACAGCGGTGGAGCACTCTGCACACCGAGTTTATATGGTACTCTGCTGAAATCACTCCTCAACCACCTCCTGACTACGGCACTGCTAAAATGCACGTGTTTCCTAACTGGGGAGTTGTTACTTATGGGGCTGGATTGCCAAGCAGTCAGACAAACACGTTTGTGTCCTTCAAGTCTGGAAAGCTTGGTGGACGAGCTGTTTATGATATCGTCCACTTTCAACCATATGCCTGGATTGATGGATGGAGAAGTTTTAATCCTGGACATGAGCATCCAGATCAGAACTCTTTCACTTTTGCTCCCAATGGGCAGGTGTTTGTATCTGAGGCTCTCTATGGACCTAAACTCAGCCACCTGAACAATGTCTTGGTGTTTGCCCCATCTCCTACGAGCCAGTGCAATCAGCCTTGGGAGGGACAGCTTGGTGAATGTGCCCAGTGGCTGAAGTGGATTGGTCATGAGGTTGGAGACTCAGCTGGGGAAATTATAACAGCCTCCCAGTCTGGGGACATGATGTTTGTGAGTGGGGAGGCAGTGTCTGCTTACACATCAGCAATGAAATTGAAAAGTGTGTATCGCATTTTGCTGCTTTTAAATTCTCAGACCTTGTTAGTAGTAGACCACATCGAGAAGGAGGCAGACTCTCCTGTTAATTCAGTCAGTGCCTTTTTTCATAATCTTGACATTGATTTTAAATATATACCTTATAAATTTAAGAACAACTACAATGGAGCTATGATGGATGTGTGGGATGCCCACTACAAGATGTTTTGGTTTGATCATCATGGGAGTAGTCCTGTTGCTAGGATACAAGAGGCAGAACAAGCTGCTGAATTCAAAAAGCGATGGACTCAGTTTGTAAATGTTACCTTTCCGATGAAAAGCACTCTTACAAGGATTGTTTACCTTTTCTATGGCCCTTATGTCAATGTTTCTAACTGCAGACTCATTGATAATGTAAAGTCTGGATTTCAGATATCACTTAGTGTCAACGGCACCGAAAATACTGTTTCTGTTGTGACTGATCATCAGAATTTAAAGGCCAGGTTTGATTACTTGGGATTTGGTGGTTTTGCCAAAGTTGTTCATGAAAACAAAGTGACTAAGTTTGGTCTAGGTACTGAATCTGTGGAAAAATTGATTAAAAATAATAGGGCAGTTTTGCCATTTGGATTCAAAGTGAACATAATTGCAGGGTTAATTTTAGGTGTTAGTTTAGTCATACTGGCCTTTCAGTGGCGGTTTTACATATCCTTCGGTAAAATGTTGCGTTGGATCCTGATACTGGTTATTGCACTGTGGCTTATTGAACTGGTTGATGTATGGAGCATGTGTACTCAGCCAATCTGTGCAAAATGGAGCAGTGACTTGACAAGGCTAGAACACGATGAAGGCAATAAAGCCAAACAATTAGAAGGGACTCCCATTGTTTTTCCAGATGTTATAATTACTTCACTTCCCGCTTCTGGTGCAGAAATTTTAAAACAGCTGTTCTTTAACAGCAGTGACTTCCTATATATGAGGATACCTACAGCCTATCTAGAAATTCCTGAGAGCGAATTTGAAATTGATTCTTTTGTAGATCCATGTGAATGGAAGGCTTCTGATGTTCAGAATGGGCATTTCCATCTTCTCAAGGGATGGCTCCAGTCTCTAGTTCGAGACACAAAATTACATTTACAAAACATTCAGTTATATGAAGCCAGCAGAAGTAAAATTACTCAGCATTCTGCCATAAGCAAGGACAAAAAGAAAAGATCCAAAAAGAGAGAATCTCTGTCGGAGCAAAGAAGTAGGGCAAGAGTGAGTCAAGATAAAGATGCTGAATATATTAGGGAATTGAGGAGACACCTTGTTTATTATCCTAATGCACGACCTGTGCTTAGTTTAAGTAGTGGGAGCTGGACGTTAAAGCTTCCCTTCTTTCAGGAAATCCTAGGACCATCAATGAGAGCATTATATGTAGTAAGAGACCCACGGGCATGGATATATTCAATGCTGTACAAAAATAAGCCAAGCCTTTACTCTTTGAAAAAGGTACCACAGAGCTTATCTGCGATGTTTAAATGGGAAAATGGTAAAGGAAAATGTAGTATCAATGAAGGCTATGCCTTTGAATACGAATCATTAAGAAAAGAATTTGCAAACTCTAATTCAAATGCTGTTTCTGTGTTGTCCCATTTATGGCTAGCAAACACAGCAGCAGCACTGAGAATAAATGGAGACCTGCTGCCAACAAATTATCTGATGGTCAAGTTTGAAGATATTGTGAGCTTTCCTCAGAAGACAACTGAAACAATTTTTGCCTTTCTTGGTATTCCTCTTCCTCCTGCTAGCTTAAACCAAATATTATTTGCCACTTCCACCAGTCTTTTCTATCTTCCTTATGAGGGGGAAATTTCACCAAGTAGCATTCATGCCTGGAAGAGAAACATGCCCAAGAAAGAAATTAAACTGATTGAAGATACCTGTTTTTCTCTAATGGAACACTTAGGATACCCAAAATTTGTAGAATAAACGCTGCTGGTCAGCAGAAATTTGCACTAGTCATCTCTGACTCCCAATTTGTGGATAAATATTAGAGAAGTTTGTTTATTCTTGTAAAATGTGTACAGTCTGCTACTTTCAGAGAAATTATTTTAAGAAAAATATAGTTGTTCTTGAAGGTGTGATTTTTGTTATTATTATTTTTAAACTTGTAACTGCTTTTGCTGCCTTTGGAAAAGAAAAGAAAATTGGGAAAAAAAAAAAAAAAAAAAAAAAAAAGGCTGTGTGAACCTTTATGGAACTACCAGCTGAGGACTCTATAGCTCAGGGGATAAGTAATAGAATATGGAGCTTTTTACCTCCAGCTCACCAGTTTTACTCCAGTCCAGGTGGTTAGTTCCCAGAAGTACTTGCTATCTGATGTTTGTGTGATGGCTTATATGAAATTAAACTGGTGGTATTGGCCCAGCTCCCAGTGATGATAATTAACCCCTTCTGACAGGTTTGCTGAGACATTCTGTCTCACTGATCACTACAGTGGTGCAAAATAAATGTAAAAATAAAAGTAAGCTGAGGTGTAAGGCTGTTGAGCACCCCTTCAGTGGGTGAAAACAGCCAGAACATTTGAGTGAGTTTAGTTCCTTATCTGTGACCTCAGCAGACATGGATATTAAATATAATTGTATGATATGGTTTCTTCAGCTCAGAGGTATGGCACTTGTATTGGGTTTTGTGCTTTGACTAAAGAGAAGACTTTGTTCTCCACTCCTGATAATACAGTATCTTTCATGAACCTGAAGTAAACTGCCCGGAAAAAAGGAAATTGGACAAAAATCTAAGAAGACAAGAAGATATCCTCAACTATCAGTTAAATGTGTAGTTTGACCTGCCTCAACCTGGATCAATTTTGAGGGTTGTTAGCATCTTGGCACCACATGCTGCTTTATCCTATACTTCTTGCCTAAGAAGTTCTATAAGGATCTTCTTGAATGAGACTTTTCCATCCTTTTTTTGTAAAGCATTTCTCTGATGATTCTTGTGCATAATTTCACTGAGGCCAGTGCAAATATTTGATGTCAGTGTCAGTGGTCTGTTGTTACTGTCTGCATAAAATGGAAATCTAAGATTTAGAAAATCTTAAATAAATCTCCAGGTCTGCGTTGCTGAGGGGTTTGCTTTTCTGTATGATATGTTTCTGAAGAACAACCATTGTTAATCTCAGGTCTCCCCTCAGAGAATGGAGAAATCTGAAACTCATTTCACTCTCAGCCACCTCATGTTTGAGTGATTCACTGCAGTAAAATATCTCAAAATATCTCAAAAGTTGCCTGTTAATGTTTGCTGGTTTTTTTTTGTTTTGTTTTGTTTTGTTTTTTGTTTTTTTAATCATGACAAGTTTCTTTTACATGGTGCTGTAATGCAGTATTGGTTTGGAAACAGATAGGCTTGATTGGATAAATGTTTATTCATCACAACTTGTTTTCTTCTTGAGTCACAGTCTTTGTTTAGCACATCCCCATTAAGAAAAAGCTTAATTTCCTAAGGATTTCTTTTTTAATGTATGCAAACAGTAAATGTCTGCAGATGTGTAAAACAGATCACAAAGGGACATCTATTTCCTTTACCACTTGTTTTCTATTACGTATAGGATTCTCTTGAAATATGCTTCCTTTGGTTTGTGGGAGCTGAGTTCAGAACTTTGGATTACTATGCTGAAATATGCGTGTAGATATCATTAATTTGGGTGATAACCGTAAGATGAAATCAAAAGTTTAGTGAGTATTTTTGTACAGAATACAGATACCCTTTCTGATTTATAAAATATAAATGCGTTCTTGCCTTTCCTTTCAGGCTTAGTGCTGTGTCCCTGTCTTACCCCACTGTCTTGTTCTGTTCTTACATACATATCATATTCTTTGGAGCATGTAGTGATGTCTCATCATGACCTAGATAGAAGTAATTCTTTTCCTTCCAATCATTTGTATGTTGAATTGGGTCTCTAGCACGATAATCCCACTGATATTTGATTTCCTACTATCATTTTCTTATATTGGCTTTTCTCTGAATCCATTTTTAATTGTATGTTTAAAAAAAAAAAAAAAAGAACTATTATTGTCCGTACCATTTTTGTGCTTGACAGAATAAGTTTCAGCATTTGCCTTTTATTTTCTAGAGTGATTTACACTCTAGAATTGGAACAAACAAACAAACAAACAAAAATTTATCAAATGTTTAAAAGCAACTGTAGATAAGAACTAAGGATGACTGTGTATTTTTGAAAGTAAAAAGAGACCTTTAAATCCATTCTTGAAGTGTCATGATAGCCTATAAGCCTACTTCTTATTTGTTTTTGAGGAGTTCAGGTGGAGAGGATAATCTCTCAGGAAGGTCATTCATGCTTCCTTTGGAATACAGGTTATCTCAGGCATTTATGTTCATAATACATACCATTGCTGTCATTTCTTTATTTTAGGAGTTACTTCTTTCCTCTACTTTACAGGGTCAAAGAATGCATCATATATCATTCAGATTTGGATGCAGTGTGTGTTCGTTGTACACATTTAATAAGATAAGAGAACTGTGTTCTCTATTTTTGGATCTTGTTGTGAGGGCAAATGTATTAAAATAATTATGGTAAAATATGTAGAGGGAAAGGCAGTGTCTTTGATAACAACAGGGTAGGAATACCTGGGGCATGTCAACTCTCCAGTTGTTAATAAAAAAAATGTATTTATTCAGTTTTAGATGATACACTGCTTAAGAACTTCACTGAAGTTAGTACCAGACAGGAGTTAACTCAGCCATGGAGTTGACTGTCTATTGAAGTTGTGGCCTTGTAACTGCATGAATGGCAACATGAGCCTATGAAACATGCTCATGGTAGAAGAGAATACCTATTCAAATCTTGAGACTTTGCAAAATAAGTGTCAGTTACAGCATCCATTTTATTTGTGAATAAAGTTTACAGTAGTGATATGATATACTGTGAAGGTCTGGTGATAAATAAATAAACTTATTTTAGTTTCTAGTTTTTTAGTTTCTCAATTAAAGCATAAATTTTAATTTTAAATCTGTGCTGATCTCAAATCAGATTGATTATTAAACAAACTTCTTTCTGTATACAAGCATTCCTGTAGTCTCATGTGGCTTTGTGTATGAAGAACATGAATGCAATTTTATAATCTGAAGTGATTCTATGGGTGTACGGTTATCCTTAAAATTCTTTTCAGTCACTTGCATCCAGAGGAGAAATGGATGGAGACTTTAGTCTCATACTTCTCCATATATTATAGCTCCAGAATTTCAGTGACAGTTGAGAATTAATGTCAGACTTCTTTTGAAAAGCATGTCTATATAAGTGTGCTGAATTGATGAGTGTTGTAGTGTTTTCAGTTACAATTCAAGAAAACACTCATGATAATAGTCTCAATATTTTATCTTAACTTTACTATTTTTTTCTCCCTGGTTAAATGGTGATAATTGTTTGTACTATATTGCAGGTTGAACTCTCCAGTTAGGAGAGAGCTACAATTTTGACATAAATTAAACAGGATGACTTTACTTAAATGTGTATCTCAGAATCTCCTTTGGAAGCCTAAGGAAAATAAACAACAAGGGATATATTTCATCTGTTTACATACGTTGTAACTAAGTAACATTGGCCTTGGGACCAATGCACATGGGTCTTGTCTATTCAGAGTTCTATCAAACTGCGTATCTGTAGTCGCTGAACACACTTGAATGCTTTTATTGTCCCAGTGAAGGATTTTCCAAGAGCAAAATCTGTGAAGATGTGTCTCAGTTTCATGGGCAGGTTGATTCCCTTCTCCCTCTTAGCATGCAACTTGCATTCAGCTCTTCACCAAAATTTATGTTTGAACAGTTAGTTTGCAGGATCCAGGGTTGAGTTGCTGGACAAGATCCTCAGTTGTATGTAAAATGTACAACACAACTCGTTTGTCACTGAAATACTATTATGGTAGTGTTAAAATGCAAAACAAAAATGTATTTCAGGTTTCATAAATTTATTAATAACTACTTTATGAAGTATGGATCTGACTTATTTTTCTAACCATAAAAATTGTTTCATTTGCAGTTTGGACTGATGTGACTGTCTTGGTTCTGCTTGACAGTTATTTCTAGTGTTAGTCTTGGTGGTACTATTTCTTTGACAAACATCATATATATATATAATATGGAATGCAATAGTGTATTTGCTCAATAAAATGGAAGCTCACAGTTCACAGTTAAGAATAAAAATATGGTACATCCATATTTCTTTAAGTTAAAAAGATTAGGAAGAGGCCCATATGTTGGAGTCTATGTGTAGGTATATTTTATAACTAGAATATGTAGTATTTATTTTACAGGACTTAGAAGTAATTTATCTTTTTTTTTCTTTATTTACATAAAATTATTTCTGTTAAGAGGATAAGTACAGGATCCTAACATTTCTATGATGAGGACATCATAATGATTCTTTTTTTTTTTTTTTTTTCCCTGAACTTCATTTTAGGTTTGGTTCAGAGTAAAACCTTTTTTTAAATCCAAACATGAAGGGACTCTCTTCTGAACTGACATTCTGTTTGAAATCTCTTGTAGTCTCTGATTCCATTTCATTGAATTTCTGTACGGAACATCATTTAATACAAGATCAAATCTCTAAATTCTAAGCTATTCAGATCTGGACCATAAGTAGAATGGTGCCTTGCTGACCTCAGTGAATGTTTTGACATGACTTCAACAAGGCCAAAATAACTATCCTAAATATTTATTTCTGGAAGGAACTATACAACATTTATTCACTAAATGTCTCTAAATCATTCTTTATTACAGAGACAATATTGGCTGCTTTCAAAATGTAAAGGATTATTTGTCTTTGGAATTTTTCCATCTCATGTAAATAAATTTTACTTTCTAGAGAATTATCATCTACCTTGCCTGAATATTTCAAAACATCAGAAATGTAATACTCAAGGCCAGGGTGGATGGCGCCATGTGCAATTTGGCTCCTACAACAGGAGTTTTGGAACTATATTATTGTTAAGGTCTCTTCAAAGATAAGTGATTCTTTGATTCTATCATTCAAATGATCAAGCAAAATTACTTAATATTAGAAGAGAAAATTAAATTCATTTTAACAGTATGAAAAATTGTGTTGTAACTATAATCAAAGCTACTCACGTTATTCTTATAAACTCATTAAAGTAGA